TGACTTTGAGGCAATCCTTAAGCCTACCGCGACTCAACATGGTAAAAGTACTGTCTTTACAAACGAGCACATTCCTGTGTCAGTATCAGTAGCTGATAGCTTAACCGAGGAGGTGCGTTGCTTTGTAAATGACGATCCGAAGATGTTGCTTTCGGATATGTTCAAATACATTGGTGATGTATCGGTAAAGATCCAGCAGTACAATGTCGAGAAGTACAAGTCTCTTTTGCAAAAAATTATAAATGCCCACGGTCTGACAGGTATGGAAATCCCAGGCGTCAACCTTGGCAAGAACTACAAGATGTATGATGTGGAGAGCTGGATTGGAGAAGGAAAGTATGACAGCTTCTTCCACTTTCATAGCAGTCTTGGTTTTGGTAAGCAAAGGTCCGACTACGGAAGACTTAAACAGCAGCTCGATCAAGTACCAATATTCGGCTTCAATTCTGGTCGATACGATATCAACTTGATTAAGAGCGACTTATTTGCCATCATTGGTACAGACAATATCGAATCTGTCATTAAGAACCCCAGCTACATGTGCATTGCTACATCAAACATGAAAATGCTCGATATTAGCAACTATGTACCAGCTGGTACCAGCTACGATAAGTATCTTACGACATATCTCGGTGGCTGCAAATGTGAAGACAAAATTAGATGTGTTTGTGGTCTTGGTAAGGGTATTTTCCCATACGAGTACATCACATCATATGGTGTGCTAAGTCAGACTACCATCCCGCCTAAATCAGCTTTTGACAGCAAGCTTCGTGGAACAAGTATCACTAGGGATGAATACGAACGAGTAAAGTTCGTGTGGGGGTACTATGGGATGAAATCTATCAAGGACCTATTGATCTGGTACAACAATCTCGATGTAGTTCCATGTATTAAGGCCATCAAGTCTCAGCGTGAGCTATTCATGCGTTTCGATCTCGATATGTTCTCGGATGGAGTGTCGCTACCTGGTCTTTCAGAGAAGGTTATGTATCAGACTTGCTTCAACAATCTTCAATATCCGGATAAGAAACCTGCTAACGCATTCCATTTTCCAGCTAAGCGCATGAGTGGCTATAAGATCCAGGATGATAAGGCAAAACGGAAATTTGGTATGACACTCGATCACTTGAATATATTGCTGCAAAAGCAAAAGTATCTGTGTGGCTTATGCTACTGTCAGCTAACCAAAGAAACCGCTTCAGCCGATCGCATCAACAACAAGCTTGGGCACATCGATGGAAATATATTGGTCAGCTGTATCAAGTGCAATACCGCCCGTAAAGACATGTCGCTCAGAGGATTTCGCTACAAGAAATTGCTTGAGTTCAACTCGGACAGGTTGGTGTATAGCATTGATAAAGAAGAAAAGGACATCTACGCTAAAATGAAGGCTAACATTGCTGGAGGTCCATCTATTATCTTCAATCGCTATGCCAAACGCAACGAGACCAAGATTCGAGGTAAGCTGTGTAAAAAGATTATTGGATACGATGCTAATGCTCTCTATCTGTGGGCACTTGGTAATGAAATGCCATGCGGACGATTGACTACGATCGATGCATATGAAGGCATTGTCGAGGACATTGTCACTGACAAGATTTTTGGATTCCTCGAATGTGATATTCGTACTCCAGACCATCTTAAAGACTACTTCAGTGAGATGACCCCAATTTTCGAAAATACGCTTATCGATTGTACTGATGAGAGTGTCATTGGACACCACATGTACGCGTACAACGAGACACGTAAGAAAAGCCGAGCAAAACCAGCTCGTAAGCTGATAGGTAGCTACTTTGGTGAGAAGATCCTTGTCTACGCGCCTTTGCTTAAGTGGTATCTCGATCATGGAATGGTGATCACAAAGACTTACAGCTTTATCAAAGCGAGCTCTCACAAGCCTTTTGAGTCGTTCATGGGCCAAGTGTCCGATGCACGACGCGAGGGAGATGTGAACAAAGCTATAGATTTCTTGAACAGCCTCAAGAAAACTGTTTCAAAGTGGCGGTTAAAAGATGATGAAGACGATGTCAAAAAATATTTTGAAGAGCTTTCGTATCATCAGATATCGACTGAGATGGTTATATCTAAATCCAAAGACTATGGATTTCAGTCTGATGACCTAAAAAGACTAATCAAAGAAGTATCCGATGTTCATGAGTTTGCCAAGAGTAACAGCATGATAGCTGAGATGATGAAACTGGTTGGCAATAGTGCTTTCGGTCGATCCGGAATGGATATGAGTAAGCACAAAGTGGTTAATTATGAGTCGAACGATGAAGCTATTAAGAGAAAGATCGAGCACTTTACGTTCCACGGGTTAGAGGAGCTCAATGGTTCTTGTGAAATTACGATGAAGAAACGCCGTCTTAATAACAAGAACCCAATCCATTTGTCAATCGCTATTTATCAGCTTGCTAAGCTTCGCATGCTTCAGTTTTACTATGACTGCATCGACTTTTACTTCGATCGTTCAGACTTTCAATATCAGGAGATGGACACAGACAGCGGCTATATCGCTTTCAGCTGCGAGAACCCCTTTAGAGATTGTATTAAGTCTGAGCTATGTGATCACTTCGATGAGCATAAGTACGAGTGGTTTCCGCGAGGCTATAACATGGAGGTAGCTGCATTCGATCGCCGCACGCCTGGCCTATTTAAGGAAGAGTGGCGAGGTGATGCAATGGTATCATTATCCTCTAAGAACTACATCTGCTACCTACCGGACGAGGAGCACAAGGTGAAAGTCAGTGCTAAGGGTATACAACAGGGTCGGGGGCGCAACACTGACGTACTTAGCCCTAAAGGATTCGAGACTATTGTGCAAGATCGTATCACGCTCCAAGGTACTAACAAGGGGTTTAGACTGTCGAAGGAGACTAAATCGATCATTACCTATAAACAATCAAAAACTGCTCTTTCCTACTACTTTGATAAGCGTCAGGTTTTATCAGATGGCATATCGACTATCCCGTTGAATATATAAGCTCCAATTATAATCGATCAGCTAGCCATTATATTTTTTCTAGGTAAATATACACTATGAACGCGCTGTTAAACAAACTCTACCATGACCCAAAAACCGGCTTTATCGGAGCTCAAGCTCTATATCAAAAGGCACAACGTTTAGACCCTAAGATAACGTTCAAAGTCGTTAAGGATTGGTATGCGAGTCAGACTGATATTCAGCGATATCAGGACCAAAAGAAGAGATTCAATGGCTTCAAAATAGCATCGTATAATCCCAACTCTTGGCAGATGGATCTTGCGTTTTGGGAGAAGCGACCAATTTTGACTGCTATAAATATCAACTCGAGGTTGGGCTTTGCAAAAGTCTTATCGAACAAGACAGCAGCAACTGTGCTAGCAGCACTTAAAGCGTTTGTTCGGCTGCATAAAGTGGATATCATTACAAGCGATAATGGTAGCGAGTTCATGAACTCACAAGCTCAAGAATTCTTTCAATCCAATAAAATTGAGCATTACAACAATGAGCCCGGTGACCACGGAACAATGGGTAAAATCGAAAGATTTAACAGAACGTTGAAGCAGAGACTAACTAAAATGCCTCCAAAGATGATTACCCAAAAGCTTATCACCGATGTTATCGAAAACTATAACACCACATTTCATCGCTCGATTAAAATGACTCCAAACGAGGCCAAAGGCAAGGTAATGGATGCGGATCTGAGTCATAATCAGGCAGAAGCCGATAGAATTGAGAAGGAGTTTGAGGTCGGAGAAAATGTGCTATATCGACTCAAGAAGCAGACATTTGATAAAGAATCTGCTAGATGGAGCAAAGCAGTTTATTCAATCGTTGGAATCGATGGATATCGAGTACAAATCCGTTCAAAAAATGGTCATACACTCTACAAGGCACCAAACGATCTTAAAATGGTTACAAAAGAAACTACAGATGCTACTATCAATCGAGGTGATATTCTTGAGGCTGAGAAGATCTTAAATCACAAGAAAATACGCTCTGGAAGACCCATCGTGGGGGTAAAGCCCGCACCAAAATACAAATATCTGGTGAGATGGCTTGGTAACGAGCCTGATTCCTGGGAACCATTCTTAAACCTCCGATTGGTCAACAAAAATCGACAATCAACCCTCGAGAAGGAGTACTGGGCAACAGCAAAAAAATGAATCGATATGTTGACTAGGGTAAGGCATACATTATTATAAGAGAAATCCTCTTTGCTACAAGCCGCTACAATTGATTCATATATCATAGGATTTTTATTCGAGTGTAGAATATAAACATGTATATAGATAGAAAGTCATGCCATGTTCCAAATGCTTAAGCAATCAACGAGAGCTCACACAGCTGCGGCGTAAAATTTGGATCATTCAGGAGGTAAGTAGAATCAAGAATGAATTACTATTATTGGATCCAGTAGCCAGTTTTCACACAACGGTTATGAACAGAAAATATCGTCATGAGCTTGAGCAAATATTCGGGATTCCATTTCATCGTATCAAAAGCCGCTATCTGATACTCTTGAATGAAAGAAATGATATTTGTCATACATATCAACCATTTCGTCATGACTCAGTAATGCTAAGTTTGTGGTAGATATCAAACAATCGTTATTTTTTTATATCGGATTATATACGACACAAGATGTTTCCTAATTTTAAATCCCTCGCTGAGCGAGAACAAAAACGACAGGGGCTACTTGAGAAAGCGCAACGTCGTGCTCGACAGACAAATGCTAAAAGACAGATGTACCAAGGTGCGACGTGGGCCAGCGACGTATCAAATTTAGAAAATAAAGCAACAGTTTCAACTCAGACGGAATCGTCTGAGTCCTTAAAAAAAACTCTGATTAATGAATTCTCTCAGACAAACCCTGAGCTCTCAACACCCTCGGTGGATTCGCAGTCGCAGACTGACGGCTTCGCCTCAACATTGTTTCCTCAAGTAAATACGGTTGATAGTGGGATACAAGCAACTCCCGACACAACTGACAGAAATTTACAGGCTCGCCCTAATACAACTGACAGAAATTTACAGGCTCGCCCTGATACAACTGATAGAGAATTACAGGCTCACCCTGATACATTAGATCAAAATTTTCAGGTTCGTCCAAATACTAAGGATGTCGGCTCTATTACCGATCTTACAATACCGCCTGAGAAAAAAACAATGGATACTGAAGATCAAGTTGATTCAAGAGCTTGGATTAAAGGATTATTTATTGAGAATCCAAATTGGGTTGCTCTTCAAATTCACCCCATACGAAGGAAGAGTGGTAAAGATGATCCGAGATACCGTCTTGGAGTTAAGGGGTCTCTGATTTCCATAATAGGGAATAAGAAGAGATATAATTATGAAACGATTGATTGGGTTGCTACTGAATCAAAAATCAGAGATATCCACTACGACGGAGAAAGCAATTCAATAGATGAAGTTGGATCAATGCGCGACGAAGAAAATCGGACGAGAATACTCATGCGGTTAGAGAAGAAGAAGCGAGCAGCAGGTGATGATTTAGAGTATCTTGATGTCAAGCTTAAGGATAGGAGACTGAATGACATTCATTTTGTCAGTAAATCGACATCAACAACCTCTGACAATGACCAAAGTCGAATAAAACTACTATGGATTTTACTAAGTAACAAAGATCTATTGATATCAAATGGACTTATGAAGAGCATCGTTCCTGTCTTCAAAGAAAAGTTCAAATCTGATAAATCAAATCTACGTCAGTATGTTTGGATTAACAAGTCATCTATCGATGTGTATGGTAAAGAATCCAATCTGAAGCATAACTCGGCGATCGATAAAGTTGATTGGCAATCGACGCTTAGTACATTTTTAAGCATGGTTAAATCCAGAGGATTAGAACTATCTATGGTCGGGACACCTGACGTCGAAATGTCTATTAAACAATTTCAGACAGCCGACGATGATGATCGAGAGGCGCGACATGGTATCAAAAGCGGGCTGAACGAAGACAGAGATGAAAATATATCAATCCCTGACAACGATGCTAAACAAATACTATTAGATTATTACACTCAGCTGGCAAACGAGCACATTACAATTCCATTCCGGATGCCTCCGATTGTTAATTCAAAAACCGGTATCAGACCGCACACAGATTACTACTTCGGTCAGCCAACAGCCTCTCGGCCTTTCAATATCATCACGATCGATGACTACAACAAGAAACATAAACAAGTGTCTGGTGTTGCCTTGAAGGGATTAATGAAGAATATTCAATGGATGACTACGTTCACATCGCTGCTGGATCATTTTGACGAATTAGATGCATACCTCTCAAATATTGATTATGAATTTCCTTCGAATGATAAAGAAGCGGCGAGGGTAACTGCGGAAAAGAAACTCAATGAAGATCGTCGAAATAATCTTGATCACAATTTGATGGTCCTAAATATGGCCATCATAGGGACTGCACAAGATATCATGCGACAAAGTATAGGGGAATACCATGACGAAGACCTACAGAAACTTCATGATGACGCTGAAGCTTCTTTTCAGACGTATGGCGAGGCTCAGAAACGATATGAAGCGGCTAAGCTGGCTGTCAAAGGATCTAACTCAAAAGCAGCGAGATCCGCTCTGAAGGCAACCCATTCAGCTCTTATTGCTACTAAGTCCGTTTATCAGTCTAAAGCAAAACGATATTCGGATGCTCGACCTAAATTACAGGGTCGTGGTTTGAGAGGGGCTGGAGTAGCTCCACTAGAAGGAGTAGTCAGACGCGGTAGAACCTATAACCTGAATGAAATACAGGGGTTAGCTACTCCGTCTGCATACATATATCGACAACTTGGTAGTAAGTATATTCGTTTGCCTGATCTTGATGCTAAGACGTTGGTCCTGGTACAGCCAAATCGACGCAAATGCGGTCCCAAGTGCTCGATTAGTGATAGTCTTCAAGCTATGATCAAGACCCTCGTCTATAAGCAGAACATAGACCAAAACGATTTCGATAAGCTCGCCATCGATGACAAAAAAATGTTCAAAGAGATTCTTGCCATCACACATCTCCAGTATCATTTCCATGATAAACTCGAGGATCCGCTACAAACGCTTAGAGCCGAGTATGATAAGCTCAAAGGAGAGCTTGAGCTAGGAAACGATGCTCCAAGTATAATTAAGCAACTGAAGTCTCTCACAGTGGATATGTACAGCAACCATCTCATCTCGGATAACGAGTTTCGCGATATTATCACTCGAATACTATAATCAGATACAAAATGTTCTTCTTCAATACGCACATCATTGCAAAAGCCGGGGGTAGCTATGGCGACAACGCCGATCTCAATGTTGCTGAGCTTAAGGCGATAATGAAAAATCTTGTCATCAGTGATCGACCTCAGAAGACCCAGCCAGCAGTTTGGGCATCTGACCTTGATAAAAGAGCCCTGAGGGCTCCGGACGGGGTCTTCGACCCGCGTCAAACCGTTAAGAAAGTGAATGCAACGACTCAAACAGATGGTAGGTATCACAGTTTTGCCGGAGGCAAAACACAGAGTTGGGCTTACCAGCCCAAGAAAAAAAACACAGTAAAGACATTTGCCATTTGAACGAAGTTCAGTGGCTCAAGGCACGCAAACGAGTCGAGCAATCAGAGATTGCACGGAAACTTTGGGTTTTCGTCGCTTAGCCCTGATAATTTAAGATATACCATTTCTTATAGCTTTGTTAGCTAATCCTCGGTATACACTGATTTTTTTATCGTTGATACTAATTTCAAGTATTGCAGACTCTCCGTTAGGGGTTTCGGTAGGTAGGAAAACACTATCACCTAATACTACAATTTGATCAGCTTTCAATATCGTCAATCCGATGATTTGATTTGGCTCATCTGATGTCAGATTCGACTCAATTTCTTTACTTGGTATGCATCCCATGCTTATATATATTTACCATAGTTAGTCATCGCACGATACAATTATCGTTGATGTATTTCACTAACTACTGCTTTTAGATCCTCTACCTCCGTCAGTAAATGCTGAATCATCTTCATGTTGTAGGCCGCTATTCTTGAATAATCGACGTTCAACTGTTGCTTTGCTGGCTCAAGCGATGGATCTTCTCCTTCTTCAATGTCATCTCTATATTTTATAGAGATTAGATCAGTGAGATGAGCAGAAACAAGATCTTGAGCAACGAGTCCTACTTCTTGACCTTGTCGATTCTCTGACTCAATCCACTCGTAAAGCTTAACATCTACACTATCGTAGAGTCTTTTGATACGATCAAGAGGGCAATATTGAATATTTTTTTAAAGTCGTCTGTCCGAAGTCATTGCCATGGCAGTACAGGCAATGTAGCCCCCAAAATTAGCTGCTACTGAATAAACAATCGGACCAAGCGCCGATTCAGTCACCCCAGAGTCGGTCCGCAGTCTATATACAGTGCTCGACCCGGCACCAAATGTGAAGTTGGCAGCATTGACGACGCTCAACGGCGCGCTTGGAGTAGTTGTGCCGAGTCCAAGGCGTCCTCCTGCTGTTAAAATCATTGTAGTTGCGTTTCCGGTACCGAATCGGAGATCGGTTGAGCTGATGTTTCCAATCCAGCTTGCGTTGGTCGTCGTGCCGTTAGAACCGTTGTGGACCTCGATTTGGAACTCACAAGGAGTGAGATTGCTACCAACGAATCGACACATTCTAGTGTAAGATCCATCGAGATATGCGGTACCAGCTCCTTTGAGCTCGAGATAGGCAATTGAATTGTAGCAATTAATACCAAGCTCAGTCAGGGGCCCTACTGTCGTAATGGCCGTCTGATTGCCGTAGGACAAAAATCCTGCAAGGGTTCCGGCGGTAATTGTACCAGAGGCTGTGAGGTCGCCCGTTATTGTAATGTTTCCAGTCGATGTAATACGCATACGTTCTAGATTGGCGCTTTGAAGAACGAAATCATGGGTAGACGTTGTCCCAAGATATTGAGCTCCGTTTAGAAACGAATAGAGAGCACATACGCTTGTGCCACAATTGCTGGAAAAAGTTTGGCCGCTCGTAGTACGCGCAGATTTGATTAGATCGGTTGCTGATATCGAGCCGATATTCAATAAATTACGAGCCGAGGATATCACCTGACTCCCCCCAATCGACAGAGCTCCAAAATCCGCAGCAGTGCCACTGACAAGCGATGTAGCGTTCATAGTAGCTCCAGAGACATATCCTAGTCCAGTTATGTCTTTAGAAGCATTGAGCACTACTGCTTTTGAAGCAGTTGCAGCGCCCTGAGTGATCGATAGATAAAGCGATTGATCAAAAGTTATGCCTCCGAATTTTAGACCAGGAGTGTCAATTCCCGTACCTCCAGAGTCAAAGGTCATGCCGTAAATATTGGTACAAGATCGTGTAGAGTCGAGTACAAGAGCTTTACTTGCGGTAGCTACTCCGGGAACGATCCCCGCGATGTATGTAAGACGATAGTCATCCTTGCTAAGGTATAGGGTTTGCGCATACTGATATGTGAGATACCCACTAGCGTCTAACGACAGATAGAACGCAGGATTGTAGATCGGTGATATGAATATTGGTTGAGGATACGCGAAACCTGAACTCATGTTTGTTTTATCTTAATCTATATAGATTCATCGATTAAAAGACACGACTATGAGCACAATTCCAGATTATGGGTCTTCGCTGCCGAAAAAGTTCAAATCAGCTGCTATGGGTGATATCTCAGCACTCGATATAAAGAAGCTTTTTCGGATGGTTGTCCTTGGCCCTTCTTTTAGTGGGAAGAACAACCTATGCATGTTCATTCTCAAGAATTCTCCTCATGTATTCGCTCATCTCACGATTATTGCTCGCAATCCACACCAAGAGCTCTATGAATATCTCCGAGATAAGCTCGAAGATTTCATCACATTTGCAGATCCAGATTCACCTCCCAAAGTTGACCAGGTGCGCCATACACCCATGAGCTCCAATAAACCTGAGCTCATAATAATAGATGATTATAGTAATGACAAGCTACTCCAGAAAAACATTTTCTCTCACTATATGACCAGAGGACGTCATTTCAAATT